CCCATTCGCTCCGACATATGGGTAGTTCTCTAAAGCAGGGTCCTTTTAGGGTCCTTTTGTTGTCAGAACGGGCCAGCTGGGAGTGCAGATTTGTTGCCAGAACTGTAAGGGTGCTGTACTGTTTGGGGGGACCTAAGAAGGGAGTCTACTTCTAGAGACCTTCCCAAATGACTTAAAACGGAGGGACTTGGCGTACGCCACAAGCAGCAAACAAAAGATCATTGTTTAGCATTTAGGGTGTTGTCGAGTCTAGGGTACGGGATGACCACAACACAGCCGCAACTCTCTGCCCCCCCCACAACACTCAACCCTTATCGATCCCCCCTCCCTTGTAGAACCACCCCCCAATTCTACAACCTGAACCCTTAAAATCCCCCAACTCTTGTAGATCCTTATAGATCCCTATGATAACCCCCCGAATTCTAGAGATCCCTTTGGAAACCTTTATGGACCCTGAAACCCTTATGATAGCCCCGAATTCTAGAGATCCTGATAGAAACCATTATGGACCCTTAAACCGCAAACCCCAAAACCCGCTGCCTGGCTCGCCCAAGGGAGCTCAGCAGCCGAGTCGAGGACTTTGGTGACAGCGGGCGAGCAGAAAAAAGGCCTGGTTTCGGGTTTAGAGCTGAGGGTGTATTAGGGTTTAGGGTTTAGAGCTTCGGGTATAGGGTGTAGAGCTGAGGGTGTATCACGGTTGAGAGTTTAGGGTTTAGGTTATAGGGTGTCTAGAGCTGAATGTGTCTTAATTAGGGTTCATAAGGGTTTAGGATTAAGGGTCCGTGTTTTAGGGGGTCCAGGGTGCATGGATTGGGTCCGCTCGGACCCAATGTATACTTCCTTGGCTAAAGTTGCAGACGCAGGCAGAGGTTGCTCCACACCTTACCTCGCATTTCGGGCCCGCAAGACGTGGGAGAGTTGTTGGCTCAAAGTGGCAAGAAGCGAGGACGACTAACAATGAGAAGGGCGCATAGCGAACCTTAAACCCTGAAGCATAAACCTTGAACCTAAGCGACAAAATCCTACATCCTACATAATATAGGGACCTTAACAATTAGAATAGGTTTTGGGGGCCCATTATACAACGACAAGGAACCCCCCAAAGTAGTATTGGTAATTAGCCCCCTATAGTAACTATACTGAACTTAGAACCATAGCAAAAATTATGATTTTAGCTGCTTCCTCGGGATTATAATAACCAAAAATTAAAAAAATGTATTTCTAAGTACCCCTAAGGTAACCCATTCACTTCGAGATGGAGAGGAGCTCCCGTGGGCTTCGGGCCGGGTGCGGAAAAGCTTTCAAAGGGAATCTCGGGTTTAGGGGTTTAGGGTTTCAGGGTAGAGGGTTTAGGGTGCAGGGGGTTGGGTTTAGGGGTTTGGGGCTTTAGGGTTTGAGGCTTTCGGGTTCGGGGTTGCTGGGTTCAGAATGGTCCAGAAAAACCTACACCCGAAACCCGAAGCCAAGAGACTCTCCAAAAGAGAATCGAAGCCCTTCTGGTCGGAACGGTCCTGCAGCAAGGTTCAGTTCTATTAAGTTGCAAGGTTGAGGGCTTCTAGAGTTTCGGGTTTAGGGACATCTTACCTATAGTCTCCATTGTAGTTCCTTTTTTTGGTTAACCAATATTATGGTTAGGATCCTATAATAGAGTTTTTGGTTAACCAAGTGAAGGAACTACAATGGAGACTATAGGTAGGAATTAGGGGTATTCTTGAACCCTGCAGAAGTCCGTCCCGGTGGTGCTAAAGTCGCTCAGATCGCTCGCTTGCGTCGCTCTTGAGACCCGGCCCCTTCCATCTAGTCACACATTTGAAGCTGCCCCCACCCTGTAATGGTGACTGTAAGGATTATATTAAGGCCCTATTATATTCCTATTATACTACTACTTAAAGGATCATGGGACTTAGTAAGTAGGGTTATAAGTAGGTTATAATTAGGATAACCCCGTAGGTTACCTAAGTCCCATGATCCTCTAAGTAGTCACACAGCTCTCTTGATAGGGTCTGGCCGGGTTTAGGGTGTAGCCCCAATTATAAGGGTTCTGCTGAGTTATACTTCGATTTTCCGACAACTGCACAGGTTGCTCAACCACGACTTAGGACACGACAATCACAGCTGACGCCCCTTCCTCAACTGCTAATAGAATCACCTTCACGGAACCCTCCTTCAAAGACTAACATCGAACATGGCGACTAACTAAATTTCAAAACTCAGACAACAGACAACTCATGCACACACACACACACACACAGAGACATGCGCGCACACACACACACACACACCCCACATGTTGATGATGGTGCCTGCACCCGCAGGATAATGGGAAGCGCCTCATCTGCCTTTTGCCCAGCACAAAGCATCTTTGATCGAGGGCACATGGCTTGAACCCCCCGTAAGACATTGGGACATCACTCCTTCCTGCCACCCTTGTAGTCGTCGTAGTAGTAGCAGTAGCAGTAGCAGTAGCAGTAGTAGTAGCAGTAGTAGTAGTAGTAGCAGTAGTAGCAGTAGTAGCAGTAGTACTAGTACTAGTACTAGTACTAGTACTAGTACTAGTACTAGTACGAGTACTAGTATTAGTACTAGTACTAGTACTACTACTAGTACAAGTACTAGTACTTAGTCACTTGTAGTAGTAGTACTAGAACTAGTACTAGTGCTAGTAGGAACTGGTAGTAGTAGCCCTTACAATTGGGACCCAGCGCATCCTAACAGTCTGGCAAAGACGGCAGGGACCGTATGTGTGGCGACAGCTTCGAAGGTTGGAGTTTCAGAACATTAAGGGTACCTTTTTGGGTCCTTAAAATAAGGATCCTACTATTTGGGGTACCACAGAAAGGGTCCCCTATTTTCGGAAACTCCCATGCTGAGCCACAGGGCGTAACCCTACGTCCCGTACCACATGAATGAAACCTCAACCTCTAGGCCTCTAAAGGAAGCCTAAGTTCGAAACACCACAACGAAAACCCCTTCAACCCTAGACACCTTCCAGCCTCAAACCGTCTGAACCCTCAAACCCACAGTCCCTGAACTTCGGATTAGGGTTTAGGGTTTAGGGTTTAAGGGTTTAGGGGTTCAGGGTTTAGGGGTTTGGGGTTTAGGGTTTAGGGTTTTTATCGGAGGGTTTCTCGTCGACTTGACCTCATAGCTCTCGGGTCTTTTCCTTTAAGGCTCTAAGGTTGAAGGCTTCTCGCTGTTCGGCGTGCTTCGGTGTGCTTCGGGTTTGAGATTGAGGATTTAGGGTTTCGGGCTTTAGGGTTTAGGTTTCAGTGTTCAGTGGTGTGGGAATTTGGGGCCTTGTCTTGTCAACTTGGAAACCCTGTCCATTCCAAGCACGTTCTCTGCGACTCTATGTAACAACTAACAGTATAATTAGCCACTCTATCCTGCTCGAGTCTGCCCGATTCTACTCTATTCTACACCACTCTACCTTGTTCTAGTCTACCTTATTCAAGAGACGTTGTTGCTTTTTCAGATACGATGTACTCTCCCTGCCTTGATGCCATTTGCTGCTGCGTGCATCGCTGTGGCAACCCTACGGAGCCCTACAGAGGCGTATTCGGACTCCAACAAAACAACAGCACCAACAATGGGTTTAGGGTTTCACTTAGGATTTGGGGTTTAGGATTTAGGGTTCATGAACAGTCTTCATGATAATGATCAGAAATCAAAACGTAATGATGCTTCTACTAAGGATTGTTATGGTGTTCAGGGATGCAAAATCTTAGGGTGAGTGCTGAGAAAGTAGGTGTAGCTGGTTTAGCTTACGAACATGGCCATCTTGGGTATGGCGATCAAGGCGTGCACAGGTGGAGGGTTACATGACTCCTTGAAGCGCCAGCGACAAGCAACCCAAAGTACTGAGGGTTGGCCCTGGCATCCTTAAGGTTTAGGGTTTTTTAGGCTTTCAGGTTTAGGGTTTAGGGTTTCGGGTTTAGGGTTTAAGGTTTAGGGTCATGGCCTTGAGGTGTGGCGTCTAGTGGGTCACGGGTACCAAATTCCTTTGTCGACAACGGGGTTCCTAGGGATCGGATACTAGGGATACAGAGTTGCAGAGGCACGAAACCTTTCAAGGACACGTTGAAACCCCACTTGATACAGTTTTCTCCGGAAATGGAACTCCCCTGGGCCCTACACCCAATACCTCAGACCGGAAGTTGAAATCTAGGTTTGTACCGCCTAGGCTTTAGAAGTTTAGAGTTGGTTTAGGGGTTGTGGGTTTAAGGCGACAGCTTCCAAACCCGAAGCCTTAACAGCTGCAAGCCTTTTCATGCACCACTAGCCTGAAAGTACATGGCGAACGACAGTGGGGCCGTTTTCATAGTAGCTTTGATGCAATTAAACTTCCTTGTCCGACCCAACAGCTCTGAGACAATCTTGAGTCCGCACAGGCAACCAACACCTTGATGGTGGAGATGCTGAATGTAGTTGATATAGTCTTTACATGTTCGAACCCGCAAAACCTGTACCCTAAAACAGTCCCTGTTAGAAGTAATTGCTTCATGCTCAGGAATCAAGGATACGGACTTGGAGCACCGTGCAGAAAAGGGTGGACCCAGGGGTTTGAGAGAGTTTAGGGTCTGGGGCTTGAGGGTTTTTCAGTTTAGTGTCTGGGGGTTTGGGTTTAGAGGTTTGGGGTCTGATGGCCCATGGTTTGTCCGAACTGCGAAACTCTTTTCCCAAGTCTACTTAGCATGGCCCCCCGACCATTTATCCAGAGAGCCTCATACCAGACATATGCCCAACACCATAAGGTTCAACAAATGGCCCAGGAACATGCAGGTAGTGGGGCCGGACTAGAGGCGTGAGTGATGTAGACTGACCATCACGGGATGCGGGTACAATAGGGTAACTGCTGTGTGATTGCGGACCCAGAACACTTTGAACACTAGAATTGAGTCGACAGCCTCATAGCCTAAACCCCGACACCTTGAGCCCCCCTGACCCTTCAGTCCCTTCATGGAACACCCGTCACCTCTGAAACCACTCGCTTGCTGTATTCACTTCTCTATCTGTCGGTCATCGCGAGTGCTACCAAAGAGGCGGAAACGGAAAACGGACACCTCAGTGTCTGGTTTAGGGATTAGGGTATAGGGTTTAGGATTTAGGGTTTAACAGTCTCAGGATATCGGGGAACAGCGCAGCACAAACACTGCTCATCTGTCGTCGCAAGGTGGGGTTTCATACATTGTCTTGAATTTGGAGGTTTAAGGCTTGAAGGGAGTCCTTCCTCACCGCTCACAGAAGAAAACATGTCCATATGGATGTATTGCAAAAACCGTTTCCAATCTTTGGCGCATTTTCTCATGCCGCCACTGATACAACGACTCAAAACTTATATCTACTGCAAGCCTTGCGTGTGTCTATGAGCCTATATTCTATTTTGTTTTGCGAAACATGGCCTCCGATTGAACAACGAAATACCTTGCCCGGAACCGTGTGCATCAAAACCAGGTGGTTCCTTACTATAACTATAGTATAAAGCACCCCGAAACCCTAATCTAAAATATTGAGGCCCCTACATTCGGGCCCTACATTACACATCGCGGCGGACGTGTCAAGATTGGAAACTCGAGGGGAGTTCGGCTTCGGGACACTATGATAATATTACGGTATATTGTAGTTAATTACAGTAGATTCTGGTATATTTTAGAATAGTATATTACAGTATACTGTAGCTGATTACGGTATGTTTTGCTATAGTTCATTATAGCGGATCCTCCGCTATAAGTCTGTGGGCTTTTTTAGGGTTTAAGGTGTGCCAGGGCATAGATGGGCTTCAGACCTAAACCCTTGTGACAACCCGAAACCCCGTAGGCCCTTAGGGCATTAATCATTAGAAAAGGGTTTTGGGTCCCATTATGCTATAGTTGTAGCAGGGAGCTCCCACATAGTATTGGTAACTAGTTAGGCCCCTGTATTAGGGACTCTGAGCCAAGTGGCACCCCAATTGGTGCCCAGCTTTGTGAAGCGAGCCCGGACGAATCGCCTCGCTCGCCAGGGCTCCGACGTGGAAAGCTTGTGCACCACGTGCTGCCCAGTCCTAATTCGTGGTTGGGATAGTGTTTAAACAAGCTAATTTCTATTCCATACTGAATTTATGAAGTACCCACAGAAAACAAAAGTTTTAAGCAACTATGACCAAGAGTCGTGTTCACCTTCAGGTTCTTGGTGCAACATGACTCCACCTGTGGTGGTCGCAGGGATCTAACTGAGGAGTTTCACTGTCGGAAGACTGGAGGTCCGACAGTGCTCATACTCTTCTCACTCTAAACTATACAGAACTTAGAACCCTAGCAAAATTATGATTTTAGCTGTTTCTTAGGGACTATAATCACCGAAAATTAAAAACTATTTCTAAGTACCCCTAAGTAAATCCTACCTGGCCCTACCTACAAAGCCTACGCTCCAGGTAAACTCCAATTGCCCCAAAGCCCACATCCCAGGCCAAAAGACTATAAGCCCCAAGCCCTACAAGCCCCAAACCCAAAACCCTAAACCCTACAAGCCCTCAACACCTCTGCCAGGGGATGCCAGGGTCCCTCTTTGCTGCTCGCCGTCTCCAAGACGTAGGACTTTGCAAAAGCGGCTTCGAAGTCTAACCTGCTTTACTAAGGCCAACATGGTAATAGTATTGGTAGTAAGAGCAACGCAACAATACACATCACCATACATAACCACTATAAGAATGTACACGACTTGTAATGGTATTGAAGATAGTAAGACTGATAATCGTAATAACACGAAAGACAATAATCAGTATCATTTCCACGGATTTGGTACAGGTGTCAGTGTCATTCCGCCCGCTGTTGTTGATATCCGTGCTGTTACTCTTACAACAATCTGTTGTGCTATTGCTACTCGTATTGTTGTTACTAATGCGATTGTTGCTGCTAGTATTGCTGCTATGGCTGTTGTTGTGGTGACCTTTTCGTATGATTATGATAATGAATATTGCTACCACAAGTATCACTATTCTTCTTATATAACCGTATTTTGAGTAGTACTAAACAATATTAACACTATGTGTGGTTAATGTTCATGTTAGCATTCATATGCTTCTTCTTGGTTGTTGTTATCGTTGCTACTGTGATGACCAGTATAAATACAATAAACCTGGTACAACCATTACTATTACTGTTACTAAACTTTGCTGTTCGTGTTATTGCTGTTGCTGTTGCTAGTAAGAATAGTGTAGCAGTGTAGTTATTGTTGTCATTATCAATTCATTGTTGCTCCTTCTTTGTTAGTATTGCAATTATTGCTGTTAGGTTTAAGTACAGTCTGGGTACAGTTATGACAATGGAAATAATCTTCATCATCATGGTACCACGTATTATACAGGGATATCATGACCCGACGGTCACGCCACTTCAAAAAAACAATGTAGAGGCCTCATCAATTGGAAAACAGCTTTCAGGAATATTCTTCTGTAAATAGATTTGGGGTGGTGCAGGCGTGACTATAACCCGACTTCAGCGACGAGCCGAGGCCTCTGAAGAAGGACTCCAATCAAAAACAAAACCTCAGCAGAGCTACTCCACGATGCTCAGCTGCGACCTCTCATTACCGAGGTCGATGCATAGCCAATGCTCACCTGCCACGCGATTCAGGGCGTAGGCGTTTAGGCGTTGGAGTTTTTGGATGCAGCACCCAGGGAAAAGCGAGGATACCCCAAGCTTTGTCCCATCCAAGTGATGGTTTAAAGGTGACTCTAAGTACCAGATGCCAGTTGGAGAACTCTCTGAATCTAGGTAGCCGACGATTCCTGGGATGGTGTTAAAAACTCTTCCGCAACTTGCAATGGGCTTCTTGCCAAACATGTTTTAGGTGATAGTCGGGCATACACGGAGAATATCGAGCTTTCATGATTAAGATGTAGGTATGCTCGGGACGATCAGGAGACAACCCTACCGAAACCATACCTTGCATTCTGCGCAGAGAGTGGATCGCGACGCCTGGAATCGGCGACCCCTGCATATTCTTCGCTGCTTGCCACCGGTCTTTCAGCCAGTCCTCCACAGTTTACAGGGTTTTTGTTTGGGGTCACTGGTATCCGAAAAGACCTAGCTTTTTAGGGTTCCTTACTTTTGGTTTAGGGTTTAGGTGACCTCTCCTGTTCTCAAGGTAACTACCCCCGAATTGTCAGAAACCACCTGATACTTGGGACTGAAACTAAGGCCATTCAACATCTACCTCAACCCCCGAGACTCACCAGAACATCCTTGCTCGAAACCTGCCAAGAACTCCCATGGAACACGCTATGGAACCCTGCAAAAGATCGTCCTTGCCCGGCGCTTTGCGGGTGACGACCGAGGCCGGCGCAAGATTCCCAAGGACATCGCTAGAGGCAGCCTTGCCCTCTGACAACTCGACGACCTACAGGGTTCGTTGACGGGCTCTTCAACTTAATAAATTCAATAGGGTTTTGGGTCTATTATAATATACTTATACTTATACTTGTAGAATAGTATAGATAATTATTGAGGCCTGTATTAGAAGATGCCCTCTGACAACTCGCGGGTTCGAAGTCTTCCTCAAAGGGCTCGTTCCGCTTGTCTTCATTTGATCGCTATTTGTCTGTGTGTGCCGTATCATCTTCCGTTGCTTCTGTCTGAGTCTTTCGCCAATTTCCTTTCTTGCAGGTGGAAACCTTCTGGCGCTGAGGAAGGCTGCCGGCGTCCTCTGGCTCACAATCCTAATCGGCCCAGCCCCCAGCCCAACTACCCAAAGCCCATCCTGAGCCGCGCCCAAATCCGACACTCCACAAGCTGACAATCCTCCGGAGCAAGATCTCGGGGTCTAGAAATCAAAGACATTTTTATTCAACATAGTATTCTCTTTGCACAACCCTCCGAAATCTGCTTAAATATTATAGTTTGGTACCCACCCTGCCAAGTCAGGTTAAATCGGTATCTGGCCGTACTGTTGTATCTTTATGTCTGCCCTATTGCTTCTTTCTGTATTTACCTGCCAATGTAGGTTGTTATTTATTCAATGTTAGCTGTGCTGTGCTCATGTGTCGCTGTCCATGTGTCGCTGTTTGACATTTTTTGTACACACATGTCTTTGCTTGTCGTCCTCATCATGTGCATATAGTTTCAGAATGTTCGGATCGTACGGAATTTGAGGTTAATTGCCGTAGTCAACTGCTTTACGGCTTGATGCATTTGTGAAGGAAGGAACCCCTTCCTAGGCCAGGACCTCCGCAGTCGGCGGTGTCGATGGCGCCAGATTCCGAACAGGCGGTGCCGGTCCTATCATCTCCTGAAAGTCACAGCACACAAAGCCAAACGCTTCAGGATCGGTTTAGGGTTTAGGGCTAGGGCTTGTTGAAAGCGCAACGGGGCCTCTTTGTCCAAGCAACACCTGCCCTTATCGGGCCTACAATACCCCACTTGTTTTGTGAAACCATGGGCACACGCCTCCTTGGCGTGTAGCAGAACCTGCCGATAGGATATATGACTGTAGATTTCACATTTCACGGTTCTCTGCAAACCACGTCTAAGATCGAAGTAGGAGCATCAGGAAAGTCGACACATCAACAAGGGTCTTAGGTTTTATGGTTTGCGGATTTGGAGCTTTAGGGTTTCGGGGTTGAGGGTGAGGGGAAGCTTGATCCTGCGAGTTCGGTGTCTTCGAGGGTTTGGCAGGCCGAGCTAGTCCGTTGAGCACTTCGAGTTTAGGGCTTTGGAGGGCACGGTAATCTTCTAGTGTTTTTGATGGTTTCAAGGATAAGGATTCCAGGGTTGAGCATTTCGGATTCCCTAAACCCCGACCCCCCATGCCGGCTTTGGCGCTGAAGCTTCAGGCTTTCGTGCATTTGGCTGTCTCGGGGATTCGGACCTATCGCTGGAATCCTAAGACAGGAGATCCTTCTTATAAACACCCTCCTTACTCAGGCACCTCGAATGTTCTGAATCTCCCAAAATCACAACGTTGACCTGTGAAGCCAGTTTAGAGCCGTGAACCCAACCCCTAAGGCTTCAAAACGTACTCTTCTAGCCTGCAACTCCCGCTTAATACTTAAAGGCTTTTAAACCCTAAATCCTAAGACCTAAACCCTAATCCTCTATACGTAAACACGAGACCCTAAACCCCGAAGCCCCTGCCTCCCACTTAAGAACCCTTAAACCGTAAATCCTCCAAACCGAACCCTATAAGTATTCTAATCCCTAAACTAAAAATCCCAAACCCTACACCCTAATCCCTAAATCTGAAACCCCAAACCCGAACCCGAAATCCCTGATCCCTAGGCCCTAAACCCTGCACCCAAATCTTAAAACTCCAAACCCCAAACCCTAAACCCCTAATCCCTAGACACCAAATTCCCCGAAAAGCCCCAAACCCTAAATTCCTAAACCCTAAACCCTACACTACACCCTTTAAATCCCAAGCCCCAAACCCTAAATTCCTAAACCCTAAACCCTACACCCTTTAAATCCCAAGCCCCAAACCCTAAATTCCTAAACACCTACTTCCCAAAAAAGCCCCCGGCCTCCCGCAGAGGAGCTCGGAGACGGATGGACGTGACCGGCCGTTGCTCGAAGAAGCCCGCGATGCTGAGCATCCTCGGAGGGTTTAGGGGTTTAGGGGTTTATAGGGTTTAGGGGTTTTAGGGTTTAGGGTTTAAGGTTTAGGGGTTTAGGGTTTAGGGTTTAGGGTTCAAGGTTTGGGGTGTAAGGTTTAGGGTTTAAGGTTTAGCCTTCCGCCCAAGAAACATCCTGGAAAAGCTGCCTCCTCAGCCACGACCAAGGCATGTTCGTACTGCAAATATCAATAGATTCGTGTGTTGCGGTTAACTTCTTATTTTTGAGCTGCGGCGTAACGTCAGGGCGTAGCATTTAGCCTGTAGGGTAAGGAATAGGGAAAGTGTAGGGTTAAGTAAGGTTTAGGGTTTAGGGCTTCAGGTTTAGGGTTTAAGGTTTACGGTTTAAGGTTTAGGGTTAACGGTTTAGAGTTTAGGGTTTGAGGTTATAGGTTTAGGGTTTATGGTCTAGGGTTTCGGGTTTAAGGTTCAGGGTGTAAGGTTTAGGGTTTAAAGTTTAGGGTGTTAGGTTTAGGGTTTAGAGCATCCTCGGAGGGACATTTCCTTACAAGGTTTGGGGGTTTAGAGTTTAGGGTGGTGGCGTTAAGGGGGGTTGGGTTTAAGGCGCTTTAGGGTTTGCGGTTTAGGGTTCGGCGTTTAGGGTGTCGAAGTTAGGGATTAAGGTTTAGACAATGTAGAGATGTACATAAGAGCTTCTCTAAAGCTTCTTGATGGGGCTTAGGGGGTGTATACTGTACGGGCCTGGCGTTTTGTTAAATACCAAGCAAGGGTTTCTATGCGGTTCTTAAGTTGAGCCGCTGCTTTTGGTTGTGTAGCTTTGCTCTTGGTGATCTAGGGCCTTCGGATTTCGCATTCTAAGCTCCGGTGTTTAGCCTTGATGATTTCGGTTTCGGGTGTTTCGGGGGCTTCCGTGACTGAACCCGTTACCTCGAAACTCCACCAGAAAAGATTACGACGATTTTTGATGTTACTACTATCCTTGTTATTGGTATTGCTAGTGTTATGACGGTCAAGACTCAAGACTAGAACGACTTAGAAATTAGTTAGTACTACCATTATGGTTGTTGTTACTGTGAACTTCCCTCCAAAGCCGAGATCGGCTCCGAATCTGAGTTTGGACCGTCGGGCTCAGGCTCCACAAGAAGTTCTGAACCCTGAACATAAACAAACCCTTAGAGGAACCCCGAAATCCTTGACTTTTTGGAACCATTAAAACGGAACCCTTGTAAAGTAACCTTTAAATAAACACTCACCGGAACGCACAGACTATTATAGCCAGAGCATCCGGATAGAAATCGCCGCCATGCACAGCACCGCGACAGAGGCCAAGGCCCACCAGGGCCAGGAACAACCGCGTTTGGCCGAGCGTCGTGCATAGGTCATGGCCAATGGCGACAGTCTAGACGAAAACTGGGGTCGCATGTAATATTGCAAGGACTCCTCTACCCTAAACCCCCAAACCATGAGTTTCTATAGGCCATGGGGGGATGGGGATAAGTTCGGGGTTCTGGCAGGAGTCTACACGGCTTATGGTGGTTAAGGCTTACGGTTTCGGGTGTAGGGCTTAAGGTTAAGGGCTTAAGGTTTGGGCTCAGCTAGGGCTTGGGGTTTAGGGTCTGGGGTTCAGGGGTTTACGGTTTACGGCTATGTGAGGCTGGGGTTGCAATCAAGCGTCTTGATCCATAACACGAACATGTTTTGCTGCGGTTTCCCTGCAACTTGCCGAGTGAGTTGGCTGAAAACAGCACAGGCACACAGCTGAGATCACACGGCATACGGCAGCAGCAGCATGCAGGGATGCATCAGATCAAACAAAAGCATGGCTTACGCCCACGCATAAACCTATGCCAAGAGTTGGGATGTATAGTACGGCTTATGTTCCTAGCATCGCCATGCACCCCAAAAGGAACTGAAACTATACGTAAAACTCTTTCTTTGCAATCAACCCGAGACCCAAGCCCTAGACACTAATTTTAGAAACCCAAAACCTCCAAACCGCAAGCACAGCCCCAAGAGCCTTGTAAACTCCTGAAGAATTCTGCAGAGCCGTCAAAACTTATATCCAAGTGCACCCTCGATGCGAATAATGGGAACTACAAGAGGAATAGCCTAAACACTACTGTAGCTATGGTGGCACGCGCAATCATACGGTTTATCGTAGGCAGAACGATAGCCGTGAACTATAACAAACAATGGTAGTAATCAGAATCCTGATGTCCATAATCCTCCGCATAACCATGAGAGATCAACAGCGACAGCCGCATGTCTGCTTAAGAACAATAAGAATAAGGAATAATAGAGAACAAGAGAATGAGACGAAGATGACAAATCAAAAGAATACTAATAGGAAGAAACAGCTTCCTTAAGGATGCCTGCAGAACACGAAGCTCCTCCGAGGTCCGGGAGTTGAGGCTTGAGGTTCAGGAGTGTAGCGCTAGTCCCTAGGGTTTGGGGGTTTAGGGCCTATATCCATATATATATATATATATATATATATATATATATATATGTACATATGTACATATACATATACATATACATATACATAAACATATATATATATATATATATATATGTATAGGTATATGTATATATATATATATGGTTTAGGGTTTAGGGATCTGAGGGTGGAGGTCTTTAGCGCCAAAGGGTTCAGAATTCAGAGTTTAAGATTTGCAGAATAGCTTCATGTTTTCTTGACAGGAAAATTCCGTAATCAGAAGGCAAAAGCAATTCGAGATCAATGAGAAGAAAGCCTCGTATCCGAAGGTTCTGATGAAATTGAGGAGAAGCATGACAACAGCGAGACTCAAGACTGCGCCTAAAAATGCACCCGAATTCACGAGGAAACACTCGAAACTCAGGAGTAAACCGCCCGAGATGATCAGACCCTTGAATTACTATTTAGAACCCCTACAGTATATTATGCCCAATTACACCCCTTACAGTAACCCTTATAGACCCCTTTAAAGGAACCCACCTCCGGTTTTTGGCAGGGCTTGTGCAGGGCCTGCTGCTCTGTGTCTGTCGCCTGCGCGTCAGCCGGCGACCGGATAAAAATCGCCCTCGAGATTCTCAGCTCACGCCTTCTCGCCCTGCTATCCAGTGGCGGTCTTAACAAGCAGATGTTAGGCGAGGAATTAGGGTATAGCATAATGTGATATAACATAAGGTAAGAAACCATTAGATAACATAACCAACCACAATGTCAACGAGACGTAGTGTAGACCCTGGCCATACCAAGCCGGCTGAATTGGATTCAGGCTTCTAGTGAAAAGAGCCCTGAAAGAAGCGGGTTCACGAATCATGCGTCTACACTAGGTACCCAGCCGTTGTCTGAAACCTCCACCTGACACCGCTTTGGGGGCTATGTGCTTTGGGTTTAGAGTGTAGGGTGCAACCGGTGTAGGATTTTGGAGCACTAGTTAAGCCCCAACATCGCCTCGAGTTTAAGCTTCAAAAAATTGGAGCACAGTCTTTCACTTGTGGTCGGGGTGTCGCAGCACGGCCAGCGTCATCTTTGCAAGCGTGTGTTAGGGGATCAGGATTTGGGTTGAGGGTTTGGGTTTAGTACCGTATCCTGACTGAAACACCCTGTGGTTCTCATTATTGGGCTTCTTTAGATGAATCCAAATATATTGGGCAGGGCCAGGGTCTCTTAATCAGGCTTCTATCTACATGAGGGCTTAAGGTTTAGTGCTTCGGTCAGTTCTCCTCCTAGTACCCAAAATCACTTGTCTTGTAACCATCCGCTAGCTCCATGGTTTCTGTGAAGTCGCAGTGCTTACGGCCGGAGCTGTGTCTACACTCTGCACTCAGCGCTGGATGAACTGCATGGAGCTGATCGCACCGAGGAAGAAGACGGTGGGCACCTTTGACTACCGGGCTTCTTGGGGCCATGACAATAATAATAAAAAAAGAAGAAAAGTATATTCAATATTTACTACTACCTAGACCCCCCAAAGTAGGTAAAATAATGGCCCAAAACCTGTGAAAGGCTGTTATTCCACATACCTTTGGGGTCCAGGTATGTAATGTTTGATATACTCCATTATGCCATGAACCCTCTAGGGGTCAAGGTTTAGGATCTATTGCCTACCTATAGTCTCCATTGTAGTTCCTTTTTTTGGTTAACCAATATTCTGGTTAGGATCCTATACTAGAGTTTTTGGTTAACCAAGAAAAGGAACTACAATGGAGACTATAGGTAGATTCCTATGCAAAACCTTACAATCCAGGTCCAAGCCGGTCGAAATAGCTACCCAGACCTTCCAAAATCCCTTAATTAAGGAATATACCTTAAATTATATTTGGGATCCTTCCAAAATCCCTTAATTAAGGAATATACCTTAATTCATATTTGGGATCCTATTATAATTTAAGGCATATTCCTTAATTAAGGGATTTTGGAAGGTCTGGCTACGCTTCAGGGGCTTAGGGGGCTTAGGGCGTTATGCCATGAAACCTCTAGGGGTCTTAGGATCTATCGCCTAAGGTCAGAGGTGCCGGATTTAGGACAGGCTCTCCAGATTTGGGATTCGAGGCCCAGGGCTCCTGGGTCTGGGTACAATGCCCATATTGTACTACAGTAGAAACCGAAAAGTTGGAAACCCAATAGCCTCATTCCTTAAGAGTAATGTCTAGGGAATCCCAGCATCATTTGGCCTTACTCCGGTTTCCAACTTTCTGGGGCTTACTATATATCTACAATAAGGAACCCCGAAAATAGTATTGGTACTTATTTGTAGGCCCCTATAACGCTCCTCTTTGGAACAAAGCCTAAACCCTGATACAGTAGAAGCCAGAAAGTTGGAATATCATTATCGTAACCCCTTTAAGGTAAACTATCAGGGATCCTACCGTTAATCCATATTCCAACTTTCTGGAGTTCCCTTTACAGCGAACCCCAGAAATTTGGAACATGGATTTAGGATGATTAGTGCTAGGATCGCCTATGCTTTACCTTGAGGGTACCAGGATAAGTTATGATGTTCCAGCTTTCTGGCTTCTACTTCAGGGTTATGGTGTGCGTTTTAGGGTCCAGCTCGGTTTAGGATGTCCTGACCCAACCCGTCCCTGCAAGCTTAAGCCACCATTGTGAATACTCATGCTGAGGCTGCAGAATCATCATGAAAGTCCCACATCACCGGCAACAGGCTCTTGACTTTGCGAATTGATCCCGTGAACCCTATCTCTAGGTCATGGGTCCATATATGGACAGCTCCGGAAACCGGAAACTGAGGTCTGTCAGAAGCTGCCCAACATGCAAAGATCGTAGTCCTAGTAGCTTGGGCTTGGATCTTCCACGGGGACTGCAAGTTTGAGACCCGCGCATTGACAAACATCCATCCGTCTGAACAGCGACAAGAAAAGGGCGAACCACGACAGGAAGAAGCATCAACACAGGCGACAAGCACATTACAAAGACACCTTGGGTTACAGAAAAAGAAGTAAGCATGGGTAGCAGAACGAATGTACAGACCAGCGAGCACACAAGCCAACCAAACCCAAGCCATGAACCCTAATCCCCAAAAACCAGAGCCCGAAATCCATGAGCCCTTCTGACCCGAAATAGACCCCAATACTGCTCCTCAGGACCGCTGTATCAAGACCAACAACACCCTCTAGCACCCGATTCTCCAGGTTTCAAGGGGCACCCTGAACTGTTCTTCTGACTGTGGCACGACGAGGGCATGGATAGCCAGCCAGCGGAAGGTGAAGATTGGGTAAGCCACAGGGGTCCTGCAACGCTTCGGTTGGTGCTTCGAGTGTATGAGTCAAATTTGTTCAAGGGTTAGGGGTTCAGGGTCCTGAATCACTTCGGTTGGGGTTTAGAGAGTATGGGTCTTTTTGCTTTAAATGACTTTAAGTTTTAGAGTTTGGTTGAGGTTTAGGGCCTGGGGTTTAGTTAGGGTTGCGCCGGGGTAGGGTCGAAGTTCCGGGTTGATAGTCCAGGGCTTTGGTGGGGATCAACGATGTGGGACTGCCTGGGTTTAGGGTTAGGGTTTAGGGTGTAGGGGTTAGGGTTTGAGTTTAGGGTTGTGATGGGTCATGTATCTCGGGCTCGATCAAAGCAACCGCCGCCAGTAAGTCTATTCAGAACTTGTCACTTCTTCAGTGCTTGTACAGAGGGAGTTTCTGAAAGCAAAATACGCCCCACACACAGACCTAAACCTGAAAGGAACCTTCGTAATAGTAGTAACAGTAGTAATAGTAGTAATAATAGTAATAGTAGTAATAGTAGTAATCGTCGTAATACTAGTAATAGTATAGTAATAGTAACACGAAGACCTAGAAACAGGAAGATCTCTTTCGAGACCTCCCTAAGGTCGGATTGAAGGTTGGCATCTCTCTCTCCGTGCTCCCCCACCAAAAGCCATTAGAGTTTAGGAATTCAGGTAGGGTTTAGGGTTTAGGGTTTCGGAATTCAGGTAGGTTTATGGGTTAGGAATTCAGGTAGGGTTTAGGGTTTAGGGTTTAGGAATTCAGGTTTCCTAATTCGCAAAAAGCTCATAAACTGCTAGGATCTCACGGTATGCCTGAACAGACGCAACACCCCTCCACCAAACAGAAACCCTCACACCGAAAACCTTGCGGCAGGGCCCCTGAACCCAACACCCGTACTAGGAGGCCCTTCTAATTGTAGCCATGACAATCACGCTCCTCAGCAATAAACTCCATAGCCTCAACCACACAACCTCAATATTAAGCGCTAAACGGCAAAACCTCGACCTCAACGCAACCTCAACCCTGAAACCCTCAAACCCTATGTAAACCCTATGTAAACTCTGTGCAAACATGTCGTGAACCCTATGTCGTAAACCCTATGTAAACCCTATGTAGACCCTATGTAAACCCCTATGTAAACCCTATGTAAGCCCTATAAAACCCTATAAAGCCCTATAAAGCCCTATAAAACCCTGTAAAACCCTATAAACCCCCATGTAAGCCCTATAAAACCCTATAAAACCCTATACAACCCTATAAAACCCTATAAAACCCTAAAACCCTATAAAACCCAAATAAAACCCAAAAAACCACATAAAACCCTATAAAACCCTATAAAAACCTTATAAAACCCTGTAAAACCCTATTAAACCCCAAAAAACCCTATAAAACCCTATGAAACCCTATAATAAAACCTTGTAAAACCCTATAAACCCCCATGTAAGCCCTATAAAACCCTATAAAACCCTATACAACCCTATAAAACCCTATAAAACCCTAAAACCCTATAAAACCCAAATAAAACCCAAAAAACCACATAAAACCCTATAAAACCCTATAAAAACCTTATAAAACCCTGTAAAACCCTATTAAACCCCAAAAAACCCTATAAAACCCTATGAAACCCTATAATAAAACCTTGTAAAACCCTATAAACCCCCATGTAAGCCCTATAAAACCCTATAAAACCCTATACAACCCTATAAAACCCTATAAAACCCTAAAACCCTATAAAACCCAAATAAAACCCAAAAAACCCTATAAAACCCTATAAAACCCTATAAAAACCCTATAAAATCCTATAATACCCTATTAAACCCTATTAAACCCTATAAAACCCTATGAAACCCTATAAAACCCTATAAGCCCTAAACCCAAGACCCCTCCTGGCCACGGCCGGAGCATCCTCCGCCTTCAGAGCTGTCCGGCCCTGGCGTCGAAGCGCGTTCTTTTTCCCGGTATAGTACAGTTTTCCCGGTTTAGTACAGTTTTTCCCGGTTTAATACAGTTTTTTCCGGTTTAATACAGTTTTTCCCGGTTTAATGAATTTTTTTTCCCGGTTTTAATACAGCTTTATATGGTTAGGGCTTAGGGTTAGGGTTTAGGGTTTAGGGTTTGGAAGTAGGGCTTAGAGTGTTTTTTAGGTCCTAGGGCTTTTCGGTTTAAGGTCTAGGATGGTGTAGGAAATACAATTTAGTGAGGGTTCTATCGGGTTTTGGAGCGCTCATTGAGAGTTTCTGTTCGGTTTGTCCGGGTTCTGCCGGTTTGTTCTGGCTTTGTGTAGTTTTAAAGGATTCTTTAAGCTCCCTTCCATGAATTAAGGGGTTTTGAATGGATATAGGTTAAGGGTCTATAGGGTTTTTCTAGAGGTTGCAAAACATAAGGGTTGCATACAGGTTCGAGTGTTTTGTGTTACATGTAGAAGGGTCCTTGACAACTCTCAGGCTTCCATAAAGTTCCAAGCATCTTCGGGGTTCTCAGGGCGTTAAAATTTAGGGTGCTGGGGGCTGCCTGTTCACTCTCTGTCCTGTTTTGAGTGTTCGTGGGTTCCTGGATGACCCGTTAATAATAATAAGCGTACCCTGCTTCCTAGTATTCGGATTGAATAAGGAGACCCCAAAACAAAAAAATGGCAAAAGGGTGCCACTCAGGAACCTAGAAACCCTAGCCCTAAATCCTTGATTGACTCTTCAGGTTGAGCGTGTGCTACGGGATTTACGATTGCAGAGGCTTGCGCTTTATAGTGCTGGGGTTGTCGAGTTTAGGTAAACCCTAACCCTTACACCGTAAACTTCCAGTCCAGGAAACCCCGAATTGAGGACCCCTCATCAGGGAAAACTTTCAGAACCCTTAGGGAACCCCCTATAAAAATCCAACAGAACCCTGCTGTAACCCAAATACAGACCCTTACAACCCCCTTGTAGACGCCTCAAATACCGAAACCCTAAACACTCAGAGCCCTCGTAGCACTAAGTCGCTAATCCTAAACCCTCAACCCTAAACTCTCAACCTTAAATCCTAAACCCGTAGCACTAAACTCTAGAGTCTCAACCCCAAACCCTCAACCCCAACCTTGACCTACCAAAACCTACTCTTGTAGGTTCCCTGCAAAATCCATATTAAGGTTTATAAGAACCTACCAAAAAAAGTAGGTTAAGGTAGGTTAAGGAAACACTCCCACTTTCTTCGGCATAATCTAGGATGCCCAGTAACCAAAATAGGCTCCCTTTTTGGTATTGGGTGCCTTAATAAGGAACCTAGGACTGCAAAAAGGGAATAAGGGTAATTACTACTGGGCATCCTAAACCCTAAACACCCTAAACCCTGAACCCTCTCCGGCATCGTTGGGTTTGGCCTGGCGAGCTGCGGCGCCCAAGGCGGCTGCGGCGTAGCCGACGCTGGCGCCGAAGGCCAGGGAGGAGAACCTGTTGGGGCCTATAGGTTTTAGGGTTCCTTTGGGATCTCAAAGGGTTCCTATAGGTTTAGGGTTTAGGGTGGCGTCATAAGGGCCTTATTAGTTCTCATAGGGCGGGTTGGAGCTTTGTTTTCGCGCTTTTGGGTTTCTATGTTCGGGCTTTTGGACCATGTGGCATGGACAGAGCTTCCTAAAGGTTCTCAGGCGTTTGAAAAGGGCGGTTTAGGGTTTAGGGGTCGGCTTGTATAAGGGCGGTCTGAAGGCTTTTCGTTTTACAGTAAACCCTAGAAAGTTGGAAACCGGATTAAGGTCAAATAGTGCTGGGATTCCCTATACATTACTCTTAAGTCTTAAGGATTGAGGCTATTGGGTTTCCGACTTTTGGGCTTCTACTATAATCGTTTGCTATCTTACGGATGAGGGTCGGCTATAGTAAAATGAATTCATGGGGTTTCGAGCTTCAAGGGTTTGGAGTCAGTTTGCAGCTTTGGGGTTGGAATCTGGATTTGGGTTGAGTTTGAATTTTGGGGGCGATGCAGAGTTTGTGGGATTCTGGGGTGAAGCAGAGCAATTAGAACCAAAAAACACTTCCTAGGGGCTGAGTACGCTGGCCCAATAAAGGTTAACCTTTTGAATTCTATACCCTAAACCCTGAACCCTAAACCCTAAACCGTATATAACCCGCAACTCAGCCCCTGAGTTACAAGGCGGCCCGGTAATCAAGACGGCCAACACTTCGAGCCTAACCCCTGAAACTGAACCCTAGAAACCCGAACCGTGGACCCTCAACTCCAGACTCTAAACCCTGAACCCTCAACGTCGCGTGAACCCTAACCCCACACACATACTACAACCATCATACTAATGAGGTAGTAGGAGTAGTCGTAGTCGTAGACGTAGTAGTAGTAGTAGTAGTAGTAGCAGTAGTAGTAGTAGTAGCAGTAGTAGTAGTTCGAGTAGTAGTAGTGGTAGTAGTAGTAGTAGTAGTGGTAGTAGTAGTAACCATACTAACAATAATGGTACTTTGACTACTATTGAAATGGCCACAGTGGAGCCCGACTTGGGCCCCCTACGATCCGGAGGATGCCTCTGCACATGAAGGGCGAACAGCTTCGAAGTTTATTTTTGCTGGAATTTTTGGTTTAGGAGTTTAGGGTTTTAGGGCTTAGGAGTTTAGGGTTTAGGTTTAGGGCCTAGGAGTTTCGGGTCTCCGGGTTTCGGAGTTTAGGGCCTTGGGCCTGCGAAAGCTTCAGGGTCTATGGTGAGATTTCGAAAGCTGATACTTGGTAGTTTCCGAAAAGAGTGGACCCTAAGATAGTATTTTAAATAGACGGATCCATATATAGTACCCTACATAGCAGGATCCTTATATAGTACTCTAAATAGTAGGACCCTTAAAGTATAGCAATCTGAATAATAAGATCATGTAAGACCCTTATTATCCGGACCCCGACATAAGGGAACACCCTTGTTTTCGGAAGCCCTACACCCTAGACCGAACACTTATATCGTACCCTGCTAGTAACCCTGTAAAGGATCCCTTTAAAGGTACCCCCTCATTTTCGGAAACTCCCATTTGGGGCTGAAGGGAAGAGCTTCAGTCTTTAGAGGGCTTCGTTTGTAAGGGCTACGAATCAAAGGGGAAAAGGAGGGACCCTTAATGGGGACCCCTACCCTATAATGGGCTATGTAATGGGTCTATAATGGCTATATTAAGTATAGACCTATGGGTCCTTATTAAGGGTCCCTCCTTCTACCCTTGGAACGACGGTGCCTGTCAGGACTCGAGGCCTCCGGTTCCGGGTTTGGGACTATAACGCTCAAGCTGAGGATTCCGAATTTGTGCTTTGCATTGAGGGTTTCGGGTTTACCTTAACCCGGAACTATATACCTTTTTAAGGACTTTTATATAAAGAAATGATAATAAGGAACCCTAAAAAGGTAGGTTCTTCAGGGTTTCGGGTTTAGGGCTTAGAAGGTGAAAGTGTAGCAGCTCCTTCCCGGATCTTGATCCCAACATCCAAAATGAGCCTTGTACCAAAAGCCGCAAGCCCGAAGCCGCCCCTCAAGCTCTGTAAGGGCCACTGTAAGGGGCTACATTGGGGGTTGCCAGAAGGGCTGCATGAAGGATCCACCACAAAATTTCAGGTCCCGGCTGCATGCCCTGGCAAGTTGCTTCAAACATGTAGCGATGACGAGGCACTAGGAATAGAACGTCTAAAGTGGTGGTGGTGGAGGTGGTGGTGGTGGTGGTGGTGGTGGTGGTGGCGGTGGCGGTGGTGGTGGTGGTGGTGGTGGCAACCCGAAACCCCAACCACCATGACCTCCTGGGCTGGCTCGGGGGCAACGAGGACCACGGCCTCCGAAGGCATGGCCAAAGGCTCTGGGCTTGGGCACTCATTTAGGGTTTAGGGTTTAGGGGTTTAGGGTTTAGGGTTCAGGAAGATTTAACTTGGCTGTCTTCTGAACCCCTCCTAGAAGTTAAACTTTTCGCCTCCTTGTTATGGTTCACATAGAAACCCCAAAAGTTAAAGTCCTGAGAGCCACCCAGAAGAACGCCAAGATTCATAGGTTTTGGCTTTCTGGTGTAGGGGGTTTCAGAGTTTAGGATGGTTGAGAGGCTTTCGGCCAGGGGTTCAGGATTTAGGGTTTGTGATGGGAGGCCACAAGTGGTTTAAGATTCTTGGGGTAGGGATTCCTTAATATGAACCCTACTATGGGAATTCTAATCCCTACTAAACCCCCATAGGCTAAATCCCCTTTTGGCCTCCTATGGGTTTGGAGTGCTTATCTTCGGGGCGGGGTGCCGCGCGAAGGGGCTGTTGTAATTTCACCTGATAACCCAGAACTCAAGTCTGGAGCCAGAAGACCCTACACCCCAATCCAAGAACTGAGAGCCTAAACCCTACTCTACTCCTTATAAGAACTCAAACCCTAAACCTGTAAGCCCTGAGAATCCGCAGAGTGAGACCCTCCCTGCCCCGCCCAGTTCTCCTCCCACGTGGGTAGTTCTCCAAATTAGGGTCCCTTTATCTTTAGGTTCCGAAATAATACGGCACCCTTAATGGACCCTAAGTGAGAGAACTACCCAAATAGAAACCTTCATAGAGGATCACGGGAAGCCTGCAAACAGGCTTAGGGTTGCAGCTAGGGTTTAGGGCTGGAGTTCTTGGGTTCTGCGCAAGGCCTAAGGAGCCTGTTTGGCTTTCGGTTGTCGAGCTTCTGAGCCCTTCAAAAAACTCTGACAGGAGCCGTCATCGGCAGCCTCATAGGAAGGCACATGGTACATAGAGGAATTTAAGCCCTAAGCCCTAAACCCTAAGCCCTAACTGTAATCCCTAAACCCGAAACCCTAAAGCCTAAGCCCTAAACCCTAAGCCCTAACTGTAATCCCTAAACCCGAAACCCTAAACCCTAAGCCATAAACCTAAGCCCTAACTGTAATCCCTAAACCCGAAACCCTAAGCCCTAAACCTAATCCCTAGGATCCACTCGGGTGGTTGTCAAAATTAGGGTCCCTTTTGGGGTACCCTAAATAATAGGTGCCGTATGATAGTAAGTAGCCAAAAAGGGACCCTAATGTTGACAACCATCCACTCCGTTCCGGCCTCAGGGCGGGCAGTCTTGGCACCCGTCTGTGCCGGGGGCACGAAGGCGGCGGCCTAGGTGCAATATACGGGCTCAGGGTTTAGGGTGTAGGGTTTAGGGTTACGGTCTAGGCCTTAGGGTTTAGGGTGTAGGGTGTAGGGTTTAGGGGTTTAGGGGTTTAGGGTTTAGGGTTTAGGGTTACGGTTTAGGGTGTAGGGTCTGGGGGTTTAGGCTGGATATGGGCTGCATCTACGAAGGTGCATGCTATCGGGGAGATACCTGCGCTCAATCCTCCTCGGCCGTAGATTACTATTGGGGCCTTAATGATTAGAATCGTGCTATGTTTTTTTTGGGGGGAGGTATATTATACTATAATGACACAAGGAACCTTCAAAATATTATAGATAATGAAAAAGACCCCGAAAGCACAAGATGGGCGCTTGGGCAATAGTAGGCCTCAAGGGCCTTGTGGGCTTTAAGGGCTTTAGGGGGGTTTGGGGGCCTAGTATTCAGGCTCAGAAGGGTTCCGGGAATCACGCGCATCCGACGAGCGCTCCAAAGATCAGCGGAAGCCGTAACAGAATCTAGTATCGCAGTGATGCATAATCACCATGTCTACGGTTTAGGGTCTCGGGTTTAGGGTTTAGGGTTCTGGGGTTTGGGGGTTTAGGGGTTTGGGGTTTAGGGTCTAGGGGTCTAGGGGTTTAGGGTTTAGGGCTTTGGGGTTTAAGGGTTTAGGGTTTAGGGTCTAGGGTTTAGGGTCTCGGGTTTAGGGTCTAGGGTTTCGGGTAGCCCGAACTAGCTCGTAAGTCCTGACGGGGCCCTCGCGAAGCCGCAGGTGGCAACGAAAAGGAGCGCCTGGGATTGATAGTCTTGCTGAGGCCGAGGGTGTTGGGCTTTTCGGGCGGGGTTGCGTAGGCTTTGGGCTGTCGGGGTTTCGGGTTGCCGGGTGCAGGATTTGTGGAGATTGCCGGCTTCGTCGAAACGGTCACTGCCCCTGACATTAGGGCCTAGGCCTTGTTCTTGTAGATCGAGAAGCCCTTATGGTTGATCGTCTACGAAGCCCTCTACCCATAGGCCCCATGGTAGTTCCTTTTTGGGACTACCTTTTAGTATTCTATACATGAAGACACATCATACAAACTTACAACCCCCCAAGCCAGAAACATCCGAAGCCCAACGCCAAACCCAACACTACACCCTGCAGCAATCCTAAACCCGTAAACACGAATCCCAAAAAGCCTAAGCAGCCTAAACCTAACATACACTCCCCAAGAAAGAACTCAGCCCCAGAACGCAAACCCGCTTAACACTAAGGGTTCTGCAGAGCTGGCCCTGCAGAAACCCTCTGAAATGCAGTTGTAAATAGTACCCTACACCCCAAGCCCTACTGGGGTCCACCTGGACTCCACAAAAAGGCTGCCTTTTTCGAGCTCTTCCTTATGATTCCCTCATCTGAACTCTTCAAGATGGTAGGTTAGGTGGGCTTAGGAACCCTAACTAACCCCTAAACCCCTAAACCCTAAACCCCTAAAGCCTAAACCCCTAAACCCCATTTCCCTAAAACTAGGGTCTAGGCTGGGTTGAGGACGAGGATCTTCCTCGGCTGACTAAGGGAGATGCAAAGACCGGCCCAGCGGCCCTAGATCGACCCCTGAAACACTAAGCCCCATAAACAAGAACCTCTATGGTTTTTGATGATGGCCTTTTTGGGTCTGCAGGAAGCAAAATCTGGGGTGAAGATCAGCCACAAAACAAGATGAAAAGATGTGCCTTAGTACGGTTTCTACCTGTGGTTCCTTAAAAGTCAGGTCTTTTGGGCCACAGGTAGGCCCTTCACCCGAAACTCGGAGTTGATCAGAACTAGGAAAATCCTGACGACTGGGTCTCGCGGCACGCATCATGTCGGCGGCTGGTCGGGTGGCGTCACTCCGTTTCTTCGCTGAAGCTGTCTGAGCCCTATAGAATCGGAGGAAGATAGGATGTTCGGGTTTAGGGATTGGGGTCTGAGCCCACTAAACCCTCAACCCTGGAGATAGGATGTTAGGGTTTCTTCTGGGCATCACTGAAAGAGCTCCTCGAATGAAGGGCTTTGAAAAGATGTTACTAGGATTCTTGGGTTGGGCTTGGGGTTTACGGTATTAGTGTAACATAGACGGTGAGGCAGATGTTCAAGGATGTTGAATTGGTGCTTAAGGGCTTTTTGGTTTCGGGTGTAGCTGAACCCTGTAAAGCCTACCTTTCATTTCGGGCTCCTTATTCTTCCTTCCTTTTACAAGCCCATAAAAATGTAGGTTACTAAACCCTAAATCCTAAACCCTAAGTTACTGTCGGGCTTATGTTGACCGGACTTGCAGATCGGGGCTTCCTTACGGAGAGGTGGGTAGGTAGATAGAGCGATAGATGTGTAGGTAGATATGACAGGGCAAGATAAGACAAGACAATATGCCAACATAAGGTCTCAGGTACGGTAAGGTACGTAAGATAACACAGACAAGACTACTAAGATAGGTACGTCATGTTTATGTAACGTGTAAAAGAAAGACGGGATTCCATAGGACAAGATAGGATGGGATGAGACAAACCAAGGTACGATAGATATGATAAATTAGATGGATGCGACAGATAAGATAGATAGGATGTGGATGCAGAAGTAGGTAGATAGATAAATACATAGATCGACCGATGGATGATGGATAAAAAAGCAGACAGACAACCCTCACTCTCCCTCTCTCCGCAAACTTTTTGCGGCGCGGGTGGATGCTCGAGAGGAGAAATCCGCTTGTCCACAGGCCGTGCGGCTGATTCGTTGCCCGTTTCGAGGGCTCGGGCTCGAGAGTAGGTACTTGGGTTGTGGAAGCCCATGATGCCATACGAGCATAAGCCCTTTACGCCCTAAACCCTTTGGTCTCAGCTTCCTTCAACTACTCTCTGAGAAGCCCTGCACCCCCACTGTCTCACTGTACTCAGCGCTGGATGAACTGCATGGAGCTGATCGCACCCAGGAAGAAGACAGTGGGAACCTAGGTTCCGGTACAAGATCTATGCCTTAGGGCTGTTGGTCAAGTTATCGAGCCAGGGTTTTGAAGTGTCGGGTCGACTAGCTGGGGAGTTTAGCTCATATGTGAGGATTAAGGGTTGGACCCCTGATGCTTCAAGCTGGTACCCACCGTTCGCAGAACGACGGTTTAGGGTGTACCTAGACCCCCCAAAGTAAGTAAAACAACGGCCCAACGCTAATAAAAGGCAATTATGATGCTACATACTGTTGGGGTCCATCCAGGCAGGGCTCACCTTGTTGGGGTTCAGGTTCCTTACTGATATTATGGTTTCTATATATATATATATATATATTTCCTTAAAACGGGTGGGTCTTTTTGGGGTCGAGGAGAAAGCCTCTGAAGAACTAGGTCCTGTCCGGCCCTGTCGCCTTGCCCGAAAGCCAAACTCGCTGAACTCTCCATCTTTGGGGCTACGGTCTTGGGACCTAGGATTTGGGTTTTAGGGTTTTTTCGGGTTTAGGGTCTAGGGCGCCAGGGCTTGGCCAGAAACACGCATTGTAAAGCCCCTTTCCTCCAGCTTCATTCGAAAGGAGCTCCACCCTAATTACATCCGAATAACCTAAGGACCAAAAGCCTTAAACTCCAGACTATAAGCGCTAAACAACAAACTCTAACCCCTAAACCCTAAAACCTAGAATCCAAAATGCACAACTATCATGATCGCTCTCCCCACTGCAGACCTGACTTTCTCCCACTCTGTACATTGTATGCAGAATCACAGGCACTCCAGTGTAGGGCCGAGGGTTGTGAGACCAGGGCTCAGGCTTAGGGTTTTGGGACCCCCGGCACAAACAGAAGTAACCTCTTTTCCTAAAAACACAATGATAAACCCCAGATATACCCCAAACCCCACATATACATATACATATACATATACATATACATATACATATACATATACATATACACACATATATATATATATATATATATATACATATATATATATATATGCATATGCAGCTTACGGCACATGTTGGCCAGAACTCTGAACCCAAAAGAGCTTCGTCCTACTCGTAGCGACATCTATATTGGGTTTAGGGTTTAGGGTTTAGGGGCTCTACTCCCATTGGAGGGCAGGCAAGGAAGTGTTGTTGTTGAAGACACCTACACAGCAAACCATAGCCCAACGCCCAACGCAAAGCGAACTAACAAAAGGTAACTTTACAAGGGGTGTCTGGGGTCTTGGGGGGGTTGGTTCTATTCTAAGCTTCGTAAGCCTTACGCACTTTGACTCTCAGCTCTTCAACCCAAGGCTACATAACATAATATAGGGACCTTACTAATTAGAATACTATAGATCCCTCAAGACCCCTTTAAGGAACCCTTTAAAGGAACCCTTTAAAGGAATAGTAATGTAGGGCCCCGAATGTACATCCTGCCAGCAGTCGACCACCAAAGCGTGGATGGCAAGCCAGCGGAAGGTGAAGATGGGATAGGCGACGGGAGTCCTGCAAGGGGTTTAGGGTTTAGGGTTTCAGGAAGGGCAGCCCGGTTCTTACCGGTTTAGGGCTTGGGTTTAGGGCTTAGGCTGCTTTAGGGCTTCGGGGCTTAGGGTTTAGGGCTTAGGGCATATCTAGGCTTTAGGGTTTTCTTACCCCGAAACTACTCGAAACGCTGAACATTCCTAAACAACTCAACAAAGACGGTGTAAGCCCCTGGCATCCTGCCTGGGTGCAGTATTTTAGAGGGTTTAGGGTTTAGGGTTTAGGGCTTAGGGTTTAGGGTTTAGGGAAGTTGTGCGTGTAGGTTTGACGTGGGATGAGAGGCAAAGAGTTTAGGGCTCAAAGCTGTTGAGATGCTGGTGATGGACACTCTGGTCCTGGAGGCTACTGCTGTTTTGTATGAGGGAGGAAGAACACTACTTCTTCACTCGCATCTGCGGCATGAACAAAACTCCGAACCCGCAATCCGAAACCCTGCACAGACTGCTTTTACCCTAGACCCCGAACCGTAAACCCTAACAACCCTAACCCCTATCAGCCGCATCAAAACTAAGCCCCAAACCACATAAACCCTACACGCCCTAAACCTTAAAGGCCCTATGAAACCCAAACATCCGCCCTAAAACCTAAGAACTGTAAACCCGAAGAGCCCTAAGAGCCATAACAAGCCCAATTCGCCTTCATATTATGATTTAAGGTACATTCCTTAGTTAAGGCATATTGGTTAGAAGGTGCCCCCACCCTGTAATAGTGACTATAAGGGTTATATAGGATTATATTAGGGCCCTATTATATTCCTATTATGCCACTATTACAGGGTGGGGGCAGCTTCTAACTTTTATTTCGTAATGGTTCCTTTAAGGAACAGGTGCCAAGAAAAAGTATTCAAGTATGGTACTCCAAACCCAGGCGTACTGGGTCTAGGCTCTCCCGGCCTGGCCACTGCCGGAGCATCACCCTCAGCCGAGCGAGATGTGAGGCCCTGCACATGAGATCGGACTTCTCTTTAAGTTTATAGGGTTTAGGGTTTAGGGTTTCGGGCTTAAAAAGCTTAGGGCTTGAAATGTTGGTTTCGATTGAATTTGGGGGGGGGGGGGTTGGGGTTTGTATGATCGGATTTCCGCTACATTCATACGGTTTAGGGTATAAGGTTTAGGGGTTTAGGCATGGCGTTTAAGGTTGAGGTTGTGTTTGTTTCGTTTGAGTTGGGGGGGTTGGGTTTTTGGTTTTGAACAAGTTTGCGTGGATAGGGGTTTAAGAGTTGCAGTTGTAGGGTCCAGGATTGTGTAAGCAGCCTTCCGGGTTGACCGGTAGGGCTTAGTGTTGTTGGCGAGTGTAGGGTAGTGGCTGAGGGTTTAGGGTTTAGGGTGTTAAGGACTTGTTTATAGAAATCATAGGTCATCAAGAAACCCTAAGAAGGGTAGGTTATTCAGGGTTGAGGTAGGGTTTAAGGTTTTCGGCTCAGAGGTCAGCATGTTGGTTCCAGATGCAACCAGAACCTTGAGCTCAAGTGGGTTTAGGGTTTTAGGGTTAGGGTTTAGGAAATAGGGCATAAGGTTTAGGCTTTGGGAACTTTGAGCCATAAGTCCAAACCGTAGCCATGCGGATCTGGGGCTCGACTCACCCTGCAAAAATTCTTTGTGATCCTAAGAAGCCCTACACCCTACATAAACCCTAAAACCCTGAAGCCTAGACCCCCAGGCAGGGAGTTCAAGAAACTGTCTTCGAAGCCCGGTCACCGAGAATGGTAGGTCCGTGCCCACATCACCTCAAGCCTCATCATCAACTCATTATACAATATCCGCAACTTCACTGTGACCCTACACCTCTTCAATTCAGTTTCGTTCAGCAATCAGAACATCCAGAATAGGTCCCTGAAGCCGTTAATTATAGTATTCCTTCACGTGAACATTGCAGAACCTGATAGCAAACCCAACAAACCCCCGATATTTATCTGAGCTAAGCCCAAAGGGTCCTAGGTACTGCTATGGGGGATACTTCCCCAAATCATAATAGTAACTCCTAATATAGAAACCCTACATTCTACTATATAGGTACTTTGAGTCGCCTTGCGCCCGGCGGCGCCCACGGCCGCTGCGGCGTAGCCAACCCCAGCACCGGCCAGGAGGGATGCGAACCTGGGCCGTCGTTGCCGTACTATAGTATAGTGCTGCCATGTAGAGTTTGGGGATTGATATTAAAATTAGTATCTAAAAATATAATTGGTATTATTATTATTATTACTACTACTACTACTACTACCACTATTGCTACTAGTACTACTATGGATGCCAAATACAAGGTTTAGGTATGTCTATCCAAAGTGTAGGGTTAGGGGTTGTGGAGACAAGGGCTTGGGGCTCTAGATCTATGAATTTAGGGTTTAAGGCAAAATTA